CATGCTTCTCCAGTAAGAGAATGATCACTGTGTGAAGGAACTGTGTTGAACCAACAGTGCCGATGAGATGAGCAAACAAGGGAAGCTGGCGGTGCTCTGGAATGTGAGGCGAGGCATCCACAAATACTCTGATAAGCATCGCCACAATGTCATCCAGAGACGCTGAGTCCTTTTTGGTCAGCTGTGGTAACTGCTGCTTCTCACCCGCCTAAATGGATTGAGACGTGGATGAAGAAATCCTAAATGGGAGCGTTGAAACTAATCCAGGACTGGAATAGGTTTGCTATGCCTCGTTTTGTGATCGGTGTAGAAAACTTGCAGCATCCTTGACCCACACGCATTTCACCCTCTGACCCACGCGCGTTTCTCCCTCTAACCCACGCGCTTTTCACCCTCTGACCCACGCGCGTTTAACCTTCTGACCAACGCACGTTCCACCCTCTGAACCATGCGCCTTTCACCCTCTGACCCTCGTGGATTTTATCGCACTTCACTGGATTTCCGTATTTTAGATTTGGATCCCAAAATATTCTCTGTGACATTCACCACCTTTGTCTTATTTAGCCGTTGTAATTTGTTTCCGTTTTAGGACACTCGATTGTGCGTTTATACGTTTCTTACTCATATTTCACTTCATATGCACAACTGAAAGTAAATGCAGTTCAAACAAACCACACATACCTGAATCAACGCAGGAATCACTGTGTCCAGTGTTTTAGTGATGACTTCAAAACTGTAACTATCATCCTGGCGGACGACACTCGCGCCCATGAAAGTGAATATCGACATCACATTGTGCAAAACTTTTTCCTAAAAAAAAAAAAAAGCCCCAAAGATCACGCCAATCAGTCTGTTATAATCACATTGTTGGTGGACGCGGGAGGCTGAGAGGGAGAGGGGTGGGGGGAAAGAGAGTTTTTCAGCTGGCATACAAATTTACACATAATCACGTGAAGTCTGCACAGGAGAAAGACTTGAATAGCTACCCCGCCGCAACTCCTCCTGGTTTCTGTAAGATGAAGGGCATAGGCGTGATTTAACTCTGCCGGGCTAGAAAGTTATTTGTTACAGGGCTACCCTACCCTTCCTCGTCAGCATTTTTTCAAGGTCGTTCACCGATACTCATTTCTATTCTTTTGTGAATAGAGGAACTGTAAGAAAATGGTGCCTACAAAATGGCTTGGCCTGAATTGGAAACCACGAATTTTAAAAATCCAGAAACCGGAGTGCCAATCATCAGGCCACCGAGTTTATGAAACACTTTCAATAAATTTACCGGAAAAAGCTTGGCTGAAGTCGCAAGCAGGAGTAAAGCCTGGGTATGAGTGCGCGGATTCTCTGATGACCTTATGCACTGGACTATCAACTCCACGTCAAACTGGTCTTCGGGAACGAGATCTGCCACAAAACAAAAGACAGTGAATGAATATCTCAGCTAGAAAATCCCTGGTAAACTTAAATTTCGGAATTAAAATATTCAGAACTCAGAGAATGGACTCCGTGTA